CTTTTCTGATGAAGGGCCTAGGCCCGAAACGTCGGCCTTTCTGCTCCTATGATGCTGCTTGGCCTGCTGTGTTCATCCAGCCCTGCACCTTGTTGTCTCGGATTCTCCAGCATCTGCAGTTCCTAGTAGCTCTGTTCACAGGCTTCATTTGGAGAGCAGGCTTTCACTGTTTTTCAGGTAATTTTGTAAACTTCACTATGTTTTTCCCTGCAGCCAATCTTCACTGCAACACAGGAGCAGCTTATGCAGCTATTTCATGGAACTGTGATCAGCAACAAGAGGAGCTGTCACATCCCAACTGCCCCAGAAGCAGCAAAACTAATAGCACCAACAGCTGCTCCACTGGACAGAAGGTATTGACATAGATCTCTAACATGAAGGAGGTGACACCTCACCATAGGGTACACAACTTTCCCAACAGGGCAGAACCACAGTATCATAGGAGATTCAGGCTTTCATGGCGGGTTACTACCGATATCAACAGACTCTGCAATAAAAGGGACAGGTATGCATGCAATGACAGTCATCAAAGTCATCAGTGCTATGAATTTCTTCATCCAGTCACACACCGGTACTTGGCAGAGATTTACAGCTGACATTTGTAGAATTTTGTAATCTAGGGTCCACAAGTGTGTCTTACAGGTGACTGAGACCACGTTTGCCAAGGCACTGATACGGTACTGTTGTTCTGTCATGTTGGGAAGTACACAAAGTGGACAAAACTACCTGCAAGGCAGTGAAAGCATACTCTCCAAGCAAGTCCTGTGAGCACAATCCTTTCATAAAGGCAAGGTGGCAGACATGGGCGAGTCAGACACAGAACTTTTGTATTTGCGACACTGGCTGGATTTCCACTGGTACAGGACTTGCGTCCAATTCAGGTCAACCTTCTATAAGAATGTTGTTAAACTTGAGAGAGTGCAGAAAAGATTTACGAGAATGTTGCTGGGACTGGAGGGTTTGAGTTATAGGGAGAGGCTGAATAGGCTGGGGCTTTTCTCCCTGGAGCTTCAGAGGCTGAGGGATGACCTTATAGAGGTTTATAAAATCATGAAGGGTATGGATAAGGTAAATAGCCAAGGCATTTTTCCTAGGATGGGAGGGTCCAAAACTAGAGGGCATAGGTTTAAAAGATGAGAGGGGAAAGACTTAAAAAAGGACCCGAAGGGTGACTTTTTCCCCCTCAGAGGGTACGTTCGCGTATGGAACAAGCTGCCAGAGAAGGTGGTGGAGGCGGATACAATTGCAAATTTTAAAAGGGATCTGGATGGGTATATGAATAGGAAGGGTTTAAGAGGGATATGGACCAAATGCTGGCAAACGGGACGAGGTCAGATTGGGATATCTGCCCAAGTTGGATCAAAGGGTCTGTTTCCGTACTGTATGACTCTAGGAGACACCTCTAAGCAAAGTCAGCAGTGGCTCATTGGAGACCCAAGCTATCCTCTAAAAGTAAGGTTGATGACAAATATGAAGAGCCCTACCACTGAGGCAATGGAAAGATAGGACTGAGCACATGAGCACAAAGATACCCATAGAGCAAGCATAAAGTCAATAAAGAAGTAAGCTCAAGAACTTGGACAGATCGAACAGCACCATTCAGTTTGTACCAGCAAAAGGTTTTCCAAAATATAGGGATACACATGATACAACAAGGCTGGCTGGAGCTGCAGTGTAGGAAAGGAAGCATCATCTGACCCCTAGATGAGATGACAGAATGAGAAAGATGCATGTCAATGATGCCTGTTGCTGTTCACCGAACTACCAGAGAAGTCTATGGCAGACTGGTTCAGATATCTCAACTAATGGAAAATTTATGGCACAGATGTGTTGCCCACTTCTTCACTCCACACCACCAATTTCCAGTGCAAACACAGGTATTCCCACATTCAGGAAATCCTCACTTTCTCACTTGCTTGTTTTCCATTACATCCATATCATTCTGCTCAAGGCTTATGTCCATTGGAAAATGGGAGGCAAACGTGGAGAATGAACAATGGAAATCTGAAATGCAGTACTTGATTCAGCTACATTTCACAATACTGTAACACAATAACATTTTAATGATAAGCCAAGTGAATCTTCTTGGACAACAAAAAAAAGACTCTTCTTTATTCTACTTGGTTCTGCTCATGGCCTCAGCCAAGTTAGAAACAGATTGCTTATTCCCCTGCACTGACAGCTGAGATGCTTGGGGTTTCCATTCTCTGGGGTTTAGTGACTCGGAGGACCGATGACAATACTGCTTGCTGCGTAGCTGTGCAGATGTGGTTGTCAGGGCATATGGAGCTCTGATTGAAGGATAGGGAGGGAGAGTGGATGCGAAGTGGGAGGGCCTTGAGCAGCCTCCCTGACTTCCATGTGCCCTTTTGGAGCTGCAATGGAAGTTGGTTTACGGCAGTAATGTGCAGAAGAATGCTGGGCAAGTCAGGGTCGGCACCTAAAACCATGAAGTTGTTTAGCATTTCCTTTCCTGGGAATCAATGAACCTCTTGCAGCATTCTTTCTAAGTTTGAGGTATCAGATTCTAGTTGCTCGTTTTCTGTGCCACCTCTGTCAGTTTTGTTTGAAAGGCATAACCCTCTTTCTCCCATCTGAAACAGCACTTTGCAGCAGTCTCTCACAGCATGCAAGTAGGATTACCAGAAACATGTGGCAAGGGTGGTCGGTGGAGATGGAAGGAAGCAGGGGACAGAGGTCGTTGTGATCAGCCTACTGCTATCATGTTTCTACTAATGTGGCTATTGAAGCATCAACAATTAATATAAAATTCAGCTACAAATGAGCCTTGCTGAGATTCCTTTAACATGAAATTCTTCCACTGACAAGTATATGGCATTACCACTCAGCGGTTGCTTGAGAATCTACGAGAGGTACAATTGTTCTTGCTGCTTTCAATAGTAGCAAAGCACAAAGCTGCAATGATCACATGTTTTTAGAAAAATGTTACCCATTAAATAATAAAACAACACATATGCCCTCTTTCCAACTTTCATGCTTGATTGTACAAAAGAAATTTTCCTACTTTACCTGAATATGGTTCAGGAAAAAAAATCCCAAGGGAATTTCACAAGGGTGTAATCAGACAAAAACGGATACTGAATACATGAATACGATATTACTAGGGAAATATTGATCACAAAAGTTGGTGTTAATGCAAGTCTTCAAGAAACATACAGAATATTGACAGGCCTGGATAGACTGGACATGGAGATGTTTCCACTAGGAGCACAGACTAGGATCTGAGATCACAGCCTCAGAGTGAAGGGATGATCCTTTAGAGCGGAGATGAGGAGGAATTTCTTCAGCCAGAGGATGGTGAATCTGTGGAACTCATTGCCACAGAGTGCTGTGGAGGTCATCATTGAGTGCATTGATAGGCTCTTAATTGGTAAAGGAATCAAGGGTTATGGTGACAAGATAGGAGAATGGGGTTGAGAAACATACCAGCCATGATCAAATGGTGGAGCAGACCTGATGGGCCAAATGGCCTAATTCTGCTCCTTTTTTTTAAATGGTCTTATGGGAGGGAGGTGAAGAAGAGAAGATGGAGAATGGGGAGAAAGGGACCTTTAATAAAGGGAATTCTAGAGCATGCAGCAAGACGGCTGACAGTCATTTACTATAAACATTATCTGTTTCTCTGTGTAAATGTTTCCAGATCCACTGATTATTTCTACCTTGTATAAACTTTCATTTCCTGCTTTGTATTTTGTAACAGACACGTCAAGTGAAGGAAAAGTTTGAAGACGACAAAGTGGAAGCATTCACTAAGCTCAGACACAACAAAATGACCATTTCATAAATACATTTGGCAACTGGTAGCACCAGTGCAACTGTTCAGCAGCATGCCCCTTCAAAAGGCATGGGGAGGAAATGAGAAACAGGAAGGATTTAAAGTTCTTACCAAGACCAAAGTTTTTCGAATTGTTCTGCTGAGATTGGCAAACAGAGCTGGTATAAAAGGTCCCTCATATCTTTCTTTTCTACAATAAGGTTACCATCTGAGTCAATGCGTTTAAAAGCCTTAAAAAAATCAAAATATAATTTTCCATCATTTCACAATCATTAGAAGGGTTGATCCACTCAGTATTGATTATAAGGAATGGATGCCTAATATTTTTACTAGGTTGTCCCCACTTCATCCAAAATAGGCCAAACCAGTGCAGAGGGTTGAGGAGTTTCAAGTACCAACTGGCAGTGTTTATTGTGAAATAAAAGAGGTGGAGAGCTGAGCGTGCATGCACAGGGACACAGTGCTGCAGCCTGCTGACATCCTGGCCCCATCTGTGCACACACGTGGCCATTTTAGTATCTGGACAATAAGGTCAAACACACTTCCTTCAGCAGCGAGCGGTAGAGGTGGGAAACAGGTACAGCAGAAGCCCTAGTCCCTGTGCACTGTTTTCCCCTTTGCTCTGGCATGGTGAACATTCTATAAAAGGCTGAGCAGTGAGGAAACAAGGCAAGGGCAGACAAGGTACAGCAGCACAAGGTGGCCACCATCGGAAGGAGCAGCTCCCTTTCATCAGTACCATCACTACACCGTCCCCTTTATCCCAAGCCTGGTGATGTCAGTAGCACATGTGCACACTGTGCTTTCTTGTCACGGCCAGCTTATGTCATGGGCCCCATCTGCATGTGTGCAGGGGCTATTATGGCATCAGGGATAATTACTCCAGAGCAAATTACATCCCCCCACCCCCCAAATTGGATTTCTGCAATCCTTTGCATTGGTTTTTTAAAGATATTATGCTGGAAGTCAGCCCCAACCAAAAATGGACTCTGCCCCGACATCAAATTAATGACAATTGTGAATTTAGGATAATCTCCTCATTTGCTGTCCTTCTCAGAAGCTGTTAAAGTTAAGCTTTCCTTAGGCAGGTAGTTTCCAGAAATCTTTACTCATTATTTTAATTCACCAGAAGACTGTCTACTGTACACTGATGTCACGAGCGAATGGTTCAGTATAGATCTTTAAAAGTTTAAGAGCGGCACGATGGCTCAGTGATCAGCACTACTGCCTCACAGTACTAGGGACCTGAGTTCGATTCCACCTTCAGGTGACTGTGTGGAGTTTGTATATTCTCCCAGTGTCTGCTTGAGTTTCCTCTGGGTGCTACGGTTTCCTCCCATTGTCCAAAGATGTGCAGAGTAGGTGGACTGGCCATGCTAATTTGCCCATAGTTTCCAGGGATATGCAGGCTAGGTGAGTTAACCATAGGAAATGCAGGGTTATAGGCTAGCGGGTTGGGTCTGGGTGGGATGCTCTTCAGAGGGTTGGTGTGGACTCGATGGGTCGAATGGCCTGCTCCACACTGTAGGGATTCTATGATGATGATGATGATGAAGTAATTTTAAGCAATTTAAAATTGTATTATTCACTGCTGGACGATGAGACTTCCCTGTTATAATGCTTTTTTTTTTGCTTTTGTCGGTTTTCAATTGAAACGATAAAATTGTACCAAGTTACGATTCTTCAAAATAACATTTTTTTTTTAAGTACAGTACAAATTCTAAATTACATTCACTGATGCCCAATTTCAGTAGTAAATGGAAAAATTTGCATTTAGCGTTAAACAAGTATGTTTTAATAGCAAGCTGAGCAAAACAAAGCTTCTTAAAGTGAGCAAAATTTAGAAGCAAATGAATTAAAATATGTTATTGCAGCATTGGTTTACGCTTGTACCATAGCCTCACCTTAGACAGTTCAAACCATCCTGTTTTGGCTTTAGCAGCTAAGAAGTCATGGACCTGCTCACAGGCCAGCAACGTACAATCTTTGTCATATATTGAGCTGCAACTAAATGAAGATCGTTTCATTAAAAACATGCTCCCATGTTTTCTCAATTACATTCAATAATTTTCCTAACTCCTTTTGAATAACTCAAAAACGTTACAGATGGATGAATAACCAAGACAGTAATCATGTTTGATTTTTAGTTACAAAAATTTGACAAGAGGAAAATAAAAAGAACCTTTGTGTCTCTGATAGTTCAGTTGGTAAATTTCCCATCCACTGTGAAACAAAGCATTATCGACCAGAAGGTATCAGATTTAATAGCTAATCAGTGCTGAGTTGGTTGTCAGATGGTGCTACAGCTGTAATTGATTTAACGTCCTTCAGCCAGGAAAGAGAGAATCTACAATATCCAGGCTACCTGATTCTAATCAGGAGCCACTGACCCCTGCTGGGGTGCGTTTATAGCATGTCAAGTAAGGACAGGCGTAAGAGCAATGTTCCTCACACTACACAAAGCTCAACCTTGGTCGTTGGAGGCAAGTACCAGAGTCTGATTAACATCAGGGCAAGCACGAGTCATTTCTTTCAAGAAAGGAGAAAAAATATGATAAGATAAATTTATATTTTCTTTTTAAAAGGAGAGACACAATATTGCATGAGGTTAGAAGTACATATGAGAAATCAGACAGCCCACGAGAGCCGACATACATTGTGCAGTGTCACTGTAGAAATCAACAGACAAATTAAATGATACAGATGATGCAACTAAAGTCATACTCATGACAAAGAGCAGATAAGGAAGTACAACTACTGTAGAATGTAAGTACAGCTGAATGTTAAAGATAGGGCCTGAATTTTCAAGGTTTGTTTTTCCAGCAGTAAGCTTGAAGACAAGAAGGACACGTAACTAGACAGAATAGTAACTCTGTCTCAACCCTACCATCTTCCAACTCCCCACTAGAATTAAGTTCTGGGTGGTAAGGCACATAATTGACCTTCCCATCCTGCCACTAACTGAACCCAATTAATGACAAGGAGCTGCCTCTCAAGATATTTATTAACAGTATTACAAACCACAGAATGAATTACAGAGTAGTTACAAAGACAGGCTTTAATTATTCAAATACACACAGGGACAGTATTAATATACAAGACGGGAAGAAGGTGTGGGGGTTGCAAGATGTCATAGAATCCCTAGTGTTGAAACGGCCCTTTGGCCCAACAAGTCCACACTGACCCTCACAGCATCCCACCCAGACCCATTCCCCTATAACCCACCTAATCGACATATTGCTGAACACTATGGGCAATTTAGCATGGCCAATCCACCTAGCCTGCACATCTTTGGACTGTGGGAGGAAACCAAAGCAAACCCATGCAGACACGGGGAGAACGTGCCAACTCCACACGGACAGTCGCCTGACGGAGGAATTGAACCCCGGTTCCTGGTGCTGTGAGGCAGAAGTGCTAACCACAGAGTGTCCTAGAATATGTTCAGGGATTTTTTGTTTTAAAACACAGTATGTTTCCAATGCAATAAGAAAGGAGGCACCTTTTTTTTGGAATGAGGTGGATCAAGTGTCAACAGGGGAACATTTAAGGGACAATGATCATCATATCATAAGGGTTAGGTCAGTGTCATAGTGATGGAAAAATTCAAGGAGTAATCAGAGTAAGAATAATTATCTTGGGGAAAGTCAATTTCAACGCAGGAAGGATAGATCTGGCCCAGTTCATTTGGACTCAAAAGGTTGTCAGACCAAACAGAAACTGAATAAAGGGCTACCTATAAAAAAAAAGAGAGATAGTATTGGCACAATCAAGATATATTTCCAATGAAGTGTAAATGCAGGGCATACAAAGCTGGAGCTCTCTGGATGAGAAGAGAGAGAGATTAAATAGAGAAGAAAAAAATTGTCCTCATGATAGATGTCAGGCAGACAGTACAACTGAAAACCAGGCTGAATACAGAACGTTCAGATGGTAAGTGAAAATCTTTACAAGAGAATCAAAGAGACAGCATATATTGTGACCAGCAGCTAATATCAAAAAGAGCACAAAAATCATCCAAAGGCATACAGAGAGTAAATGGATGGTAAAAATAAAAAGGAGTGAGGCTGATTATGAAAACAAATTTACACAGCGGAATACACATAGGCAGGGGATTGACATCTGTCTCTAGTAAAGAACAAAATACTGTGCAGGTTATGGTGCGACCAGAGGTATATCAAATACTCAAAAAAAGGGTATAAAAATAAATCAAGCAAGTACAGACCAATCAGTTTTTCTTCATGGTGGAGAGGATTCTAGAAATGATAATTCCCAGTCAAAATCAATTGCTTGGAAAAATGTAAATTAATTAAGGAAAACAGCACAGATTTGCTAAGAGCAAATTATATTTATTTAACGTTCTGCATTTATTTTTAACGAGGCAACAGAGAATGTCGATAAGGGTAACATTGTTGAAGTGGTACACATGGAATTCCAAAAGACATTTGATAAAGTGCTGCACAACAGATTTGTGGACAAAGTTAAAGCTTATGGCATAAAAGGGACAGTACCTTATTGGGGAAAATGCAGCAAAATAGATATGAGGAGTCTCAGATTAGCCACAAACCTATTGAATGGAGCTCAACATTCAATATTCAGCTCTGGAAGGCAAATGGTCTACTCTTATGGTTGTATTATTAGCATGGATACAATATTGGTTGAGTGACAGGAAACAAAGTAGAGGTCAACTGATGTCTTTTTGGGCTGGTGTTAGTGTGACAATACTATGCCTTTAAGATATGTACTTTGTCCTGTTTTTTTCCAATAAAGAGAGGTTGAGACTTAAGTACTGAGCAGTTTGTTCCAAAGCGAATAAAGTAAACAGCTTGTGAGACCTTCGGTTTTTTTTAAACTTGTAACAAAGGAAGCAGCACAAAGGGGTGCGGTCAAGTTCCCATAGAACCAAGCTTTTAGTTTTAGTTTTCTGTAGTTGTTCTCTCTGTACAGCTAAAAGCTTGGGTTCTCTTCCTGCTGCTAGAATTCCATGGGAGACAATCTATTTTACTGAATTTGCTTTTGCCAAGGCTGTGTTTGTGGGATGCTGTTATATTAGAACAGTTGCTGTTCAGTGGTTAAATAATCTACAATTCTGTTAAGTTTTCCCGTAGTGTTGTTATTCAAATTCTTTCTTTTGTTTGTATTTTAACTATGGTGTAAGAATCAAGTGTGTTTTGCTTCAAGCCTGATAGTTTGACCAATCAAATTGCATCCAGAACACAACACTTTACATTTACCTTTAAAAATAAGAAAAAGTTGGGATCTAGGCTATCTTCTTAATATATTTTAAGCAGGTTTGGCCTGGTCCATAACAGAAGGTTTCTAGTGGAGTTCTCCAGGGACTGGGACACATGCTCTTTCTGATACGTATGAATGATCTAGACCTTGGTGTACAGGGCATAATTTAAAAATTTGTGAATGATACAAAACTTGCGAGCATAATGAAATCTGAAAGAAGGGTAATGCAGAACTTCAAAAGAACATGGGCAGCTTGGTAAAGTGGATAAACAAATAGTAGATCAAATGTAACGCTGAGAAGTATGAAGTGATTCATTTTGGTCAAAAAAATGCAGAGACAATCAAAAAGAAAGGAAACAGTTCTAAATGGAAGGCTGGAGCAGATACCTGTGTGTATATGTGCATAATTCATTGAAGGTTACAGGACGGATAGAGAGTGCGGTTAATAAAACATACAACATCCTCGGCTTTACTCATAGGATCATTGGGTATAAAAACAAGGAAATTATGTTAAACTTGTACAAGATGCTGCTTTGGCCTCAACTGGAGTATTGTGCCCAGCTCTGGATGCCATGCTTTTAGAAAGATATAAAAGGTATTACAGAGAGTGCAGAAAACATTAATAAGAATGATTCCAGCAATGAGGAACTTAAGTTACGTGGTTAGATTGGAGAGGTTGATACTGAGTTAATAGGAAATCTGATACAGGTATTCAAAATCACGAGGGGTCATGTCTGATGAGATAGAAAATACATTTCCATGCTTGAAGGAGCAAGAATAAGAGGGCACATATTTCAGGTAATTGGCAAAATAAGCATGGGCAACAGAAGACTTTTTTTTCCATGTCGAGAGAAGCTAAGATCTAGAATTAAATGCCTGAGTGAGTGTAATGGAAGGAGATTGAATTGAGGCATTCAAGAGAGTATTGGATTGTTAGCTGTAAAGGAAGAAAGGGCTATGGGGAGAAAATGGGGGAGTGGTAGTAGGTTAATGGCTCACATGAGCCAAATGGCCATCTTCTGTGCTGTAATAATTCCGTGATTCTGTGATATCTTTATATCACTCTGAGGAAGAGATGTGCACAGTAGTGGCTTCCATGCATGTTTTTGTCTCAAGTTCAGCTGTAAAGAGTTTGTGTGTATTTTATTTAGATAACATGCTTACCATAACCACCAGCAATCTTTCCACGTGATTTCTGAAATATGACCTCTTTTGGCAAATATTGCTAATAATTCAGCTTTGCTCATCTAGCAGCAATATACCTTCCCCTTTGCCACACAGTTGAACATTTCAAATTCTACACTAAAATATGATATATCTATAAATATATAAATTTCCTATTAGGAGATAGATGATTCAACATTATTTCATTTAACAGATTTCTGACACTTAAACCCCTTAATCTAGTATCAAAATCAAATAATTTTCCTGTCATAGCAAAACAAATATAATAACAAAAAGTGCATTAATAAACTCAGCTGAATCATGCCAGACAATAGTACACATTTTTAATAATGCCCAGTACAATGGCAGCTAGAAGAGGCAGCTATAGTATAAGGATAAGGCATAGAGCCAGAGAAGAGTATGCCAAAATTTCAGAGAAACGGGTCTACAAATTCTCTTGACAAAAACGACTCAGGGGAGAGACAGATTACTTTATTTAGAGTTGATATGTCAGTGGCAAATGATTTTACAAAAGCGATTTAAAGCTATGTGGAGAGGTAACAATGGCAGGTAAATCCCGACTCACTCACTCTCAGGACTGCGGGCTAATGTCCCAAGAAGTTTAATGACCTGACCAGGACAGGACAGGACAGGAAAGTAGTGACCACGCTCCCCTTTTTGCTTTAGATGCTATGTGAATGTGCACGCTCTTTACTCACTAAGCTTACATCTACATAATAAAATGCTTCAAAATGCACATTAAAAATAATTAACAAATACTTAGGATTATATCTTGCATTCACATCTCTAAATTCCTTTCCATCACGTTTCAAGAATAATCTCTCATTCCTACTGTGCCATGCATCTAGCATACTCCACGTTGACTGCCAGCCATTATCAAATCTATTGACTCTTCTTGCAGAACAAATGGGTGCATAGTACCAGTAACAGGGCAAATGAAGAAGCCCCAAACCTGAAAGACTTCACCCCTCTCAGAAGTAGGCCATGAAGCTCACAGAGACTGCTTTGACTCTGTAAGGTATTTGTTGGCAGCTTCTCTGTTGGCACTGGGTTAGTGACTACAGACCTAACAGATTGTCTCTGCAGGTTGAGTGAACTGGCAAAGGCAAGAGGAATAAATGGAAAGGAGACAGAACTATTTCAAAACATTCATAAAGATAAGACCTCCTGCCCCAAAATTGCTAACGTGCATTTACATAGCATCTTGAAATGTCTCAAGACGGTCATCTTATGGCACTGTGGAACATCGGTTTGCAGACAATTTGGAAACTGATCAGTATTTTTGTATGGCAAATTGTGTAGGGCAAAAAACAGAATACACCTGCACAACATACAAGCTCCAGCATACTGTGAATCCCATCAACACAGATCAACCCTGTCTCGCTAACAGCAACCTGCAACCGCTGGCAGGCATCGTGATAAAGAGGAGTGCAGTCTAACCAGCACAGAAGGCCACTCCTCAGACCAGGCCAGCCTGGACCCAGATAGCGATCCAGATCAGTGCTGTGACCCTAGTGAAATAGGACAGATGCATATCGGTGCAAGAAAAAGGTCAATAATCTTTTGGCCCTGAAAGGGTAAGTGCCACCATTTTCTTTCTTATGCCTCCCACTCACACAAATTGTCATTGCACACTTGTCTCACCAAAGCACACGGACTAAAAATCTTACTATTGCGAACATCATATTCACTCAATGGCTCTCATCCACCTAATTCTCCCAGGCTGCTAATTCTTCCTGCCCTTTGTGCTTCCTATCCACTCACTGATGACATTTCACCAACTCTCCTGCTCATGTATCACCAATAACTGCTGTTCTATTAGGCTAAATCCCTCCCTTCATCTCAAAGCAAGGAAAACCACATTTGAAAAACAGCTTTCCAACTGACCTACCTGCACTTACCTAACTAAACTACCCTGGCTAGTTGCAGTTGAACTATAGGATTAACCACGGCCCAATTCCCAGTCTGCAAGCATACAGGTCCCTAAACTGACCCTGGCCAGTTCCCTTGACTGGAATTAGCCAAACCACTTGATTAACTATCGTGGCGCCCTGACTGGCTGCAGCACCTTTGACCCCATAAAAGGACTGTTCCCCTTTGACTTTCACATACGGCTGTTTGCTTGAAGCACTTTTTGAAATTCACTCATGGAACGTTGGCATCACTGGTTGATACAACATTTGTTGCCCATCCCTAGTTGCCCTTGAGAAGGTGGTGATAAGCTTCCTTCTAGAACACACACAATACCTTTGGGGAGGGAGGTCCAGGATTTTGACCCTACAATACTGAAGGAATCTCGATATGGAGATCAAGATGGTGTGTGACTTGGAAGGGAACATGCAGCAGTTGGTGTTTCCATTAATCTACTGCCCTACCTTTCTAGATTGCAGCAGTGGCAGGTTTGGAAGGTGCTGTCTATGGAGCCTTGGTGAATTTCTGCAGTGCATTTTGTAAATGGCACACACTGCTGCTACTATGTATCAGTGGTTAAGGAAGTGTCATTTTGTGGATGTGATGCCAATCCACTAGGCTGTTTTGTCCCGGATGCTATCAAGCGTGAGTGTTTTTGGAGTTGCACTTATCTGGGCAAGTGGGGAGTATTCCATCATATTTCTGATTTGTGCCTTGTACATTTTGGACAGGCTTTGTGGAATCAGGAGGCAAGTTACTTGCAGTATTCCTAGCCGCTGACCTGCTCTTGTGACAATGATATTTATATGGCTAGTCCAGTTAACCACCCCCGACCCACCACACCGGATGTTGATTGTGGTAGATGCAACGATAGCGATGACATTGAATATCAAAGGGTATTGGTTAGATTCTTTTCTTGTTTGAGATGGCTATAGCTTGGCACTTATGTGAAGTGAATGTTCTTGCCACTTGTTAACACAAACCTAGATATTGTCTAGGTCTTAGTGCATTCGAACATGGGCTGCTTAAGTATCTGAGGAGTTGTGAATGGTGCCAAACGTTGTGCAGTCATCAGCAAACATCCCCACTTCTGATCTTCTGATGGAGTGAAGATCACTAACGAAGCAGCCGAAGATGGTTGGGCCTTGGACACAACCCTGACGAATTCCTGCAAAGGTGTCCTGAAGCTGGATAACTGGCCATCAGCTACCACAACCGTCATTTGTGCCAGGTATGATATGCAGCGTATTTATTGCAGATGTGACGTTGACGTAACATGATGCAGCAGAGTGACATGTTCACACTCTTGACTGCTTAGTGCCACCCACCATGACAGCTGCCTTCCTCTCCCTTTGTGTTAAAAAGCGACACAAGCCAAAGAGGCTGGCAGTCTGTAATTGAGCATTGAAGACCCTATGTGCTAAAAAAACAAATGCCTCCAAGTAAGCGCAAAGTGAGTGAATGCTAAGAAAGCAAACTATAAATTGCATGCTATGTAGATGTGTGAGATGCACAAAGTGACCTAGCAAAAACATGGAAGTCATAGGTGCCACTGAACTCTAACGTACAAACTGCTGAAAGGCTGAAGTGTTGTGAGATTTGGTCCAAGAGCGGGAATTACAATGTGACAAGGCTGGTGGTTTGCTGATGATCCTGCATCCACCCAAGTCATCGAGGAGGATACTGTCCATTGAGCATGCAAGAACAAATGTGCTGGAGACACAACAGGATGATGACAGGCACAAACAATCATTAAAATCCCCCCTCTAACCCTAGCCAGATACTCAAACTAATTTGCACCGTCTAGTTTCTCAGGAGCAAACGATTGAAGGTGTAATATAAATAAGGGGAGTTGGGCTAGTAGTAGGATGCAAATACCTGGAACTAAAGTCGTCACTGCTCAGTTGTGCCATTCTGTAACAGCATTTAAGACTGGAGTCAAAAAAAAAATCACAAATCTTTTTCTCAATGTCATGATTCTGATTTTTCCATTCTCAATGTATTCTCCTAACATTCACACCATTGCTTACACCACAGCAGAAAAGGGAAACTTCTACCCCTTTGTACAATTCCTAGATTTACCCTGACATTGAGCCTGACATTGTCTCAAGTCTTCGCAAATTAGCAATTTGGTTTTATTTTGTTATTAATTTGTTAGCACTTTTTTCTTCTGACTAACTGAAATGGTAAAAGTAAAGGATAAGCTACCATTGTCCTACCAGATCACAAGGTTCATCTCTCATTAGAGATATGACAACTGATAGTGGTTGAACCCAAGGGTCACCACGCCTCAGGCAAGGGGAGAGGTTGAGAAGGAAAGTCGTTCATGGTAACCTCAGTTGGTGCAGGAATTGAACCCACACTGTTGACATCACTCTGCATCACAAGCCAGCCATCCATTCAACTGAGCTAACCAGCCCCCTAACTGAAGTGATGCTTCATATCTTCTAATAAAAGCAGATCCTTCCCTTCTGCAAAGTTGCAGATCATTCACTTTAGCTCCATGCTCAGCATTCTCCCTCCCCTTCTTTTTCCATCACACCTCTAAAACATCCCTATCCACCCCATTCTGTCTTTCTAATTTTATTAAAATACTTTGCTCGACCATTCAGTACTCTGTTCTGAAAAAAGCTCCTGCCAAAAATATCAACATATTTTTTCACGACAGACACTGACTGACTCACTATGTTACTTTTCCAGCGTTCTGTGTTTTTGTCTCAGATTATAATTTCTGCAGTGTTCTGTCCTTTATTTGTGCTCATGAAAACACAAACAGGAAAATCAGTTTATAAATTAAAGCCAAGTACTAACTTGTGAACAGATGTATTCCAGTGGTGGCTCTGTTTGGACTCGATCATATTTAATACTTGTAGGAAATCGAAATAGGATAATTTTGACTCAGGTATCAGTCCCACCATCCCTAAAAAGCGATGATACTCTGTGGTTGAAAGCAAGCAGTTGTCAAACAGAGTACGAAAGTCGTACATTGTAACTAGTCCATCATGATTACGGTCCAATCGATCAAATACAGAATGCAAATCCTTTCAAAGAAAATTCAATAGGCCGTTAATAGAGTTACTGAGTACCCTCAACATGATTTTAAATTATTATTTAATAAAGAAAAAGTGAAAACAAATCATAATGTCCACTGAAAATACAGATAAATACATCTAAGCAGTCTTACCAAAATTGTACTTTTCAGTTTATCTGCGATGTAATTAAAACAGTCATCTGCAATCATGCGTTTCATATTGGAATCACCTGCACCACCGTGGCACTGCTTTACCATTCTGTCATCTGTAAACCATGTGACATAGTATTTGACATTTGATTTAAATAATAGTTTTTAATTCCTATTTCTCCCTTCTTTTAGCTCCTGTTTCTCCTTCCTTTGACCAAATCTGTATTTCTTTATTCACAGGTCACTGGCTCGGTCAGATCTTAGTGCCCATTCCTTATTACCCTGGCTAAGGTGGTAGTGAGCTGCCTTCTTGAACTACTGAAGTCCTTGAGAGACAGAGACACTCTGTGCTCTTGGGAAGGGAGTGCCAGGACTTTGACACAGTAACAGAGAAGGAACAGCAATACAATTCTTTATCAGAATGGCATGTGGCATCAAGGGAACCCTGTAGTCAGGGTGTTAGAAGAGATCATGGATTTGGAAGGTGCTGTCAGAGGTGCCTTGCTGAGTTACTGTGATACAATGGAAGATATTACACATTGCTACCACTGTGTAAATGGTAGTGAATGTTCAAAGTAGGGATGAAATGCCAATGAAGTGAGCTGCTTTGTCCTAGATGGCATCAAGATTCTTAAGTGTTGTTATCCAGGCAAGTGGAGAGTATTCCATCACACTCCTGACTTGTGCCTTATTTGACAATGAATGGGCACTGGGAAGATAGATGATAAGTTATTCGCAGCAGAATTCCTAGCCTCTGGCCTGCTCTTGTAGCCAGAGTGCTTAAACTGGTCCAGTTCAGTTTCTGATCAATGATAAACACCAGGATGTCAATAGTGGCTGGGTCACACCAGAAACAAAACCAGTAACTTGTTCTTTGGGCTATTGCAATCCTAACTTTGAGCAGCCAGTAAGAATTGAACAAGACAGGTGTCTCAGTGTGCCTCATTCTCATCACTGATTTCCCCACTTTCCTGTGGGGAACTAATGGTACACAGACAGGATCTCCCTGCAAATAGCAACAGCAGAGATACAGAAATAACAGGAAGGAGAAAGTAACAGTATGAATGATGAATTTGATGTGATAGGTCAGGTTCACAAGTTTATGAGTAAACAATCTGACTCAAGAAACCAGCAATTTCAAAATACACATGCAACTCATGTCTACTCTTGACTACAGAATTCTTAGGTTAAAGCTAATAAATAGTCATTTAGTAGTACAGAACTTGTATCAGATAGATGGTGACTGACTCAACTTCAAACATTGTTTAAAATTTAAACAAAGCAGGTAGGTGCTGATTGATCAAAGCATTTCCCTAAGAAATGAACCAGGGAAGGATTGGATGATTTATCAAATTCTCCATGCCAATGGCTACCAGAGTCCACTTGCCAACAAGTCAGCACTGACCTCTCATGCAGTATAAAATGTCACAACTGCCTGGTGTAGTGTCCTAGAAATCAAACTGCACTATTGCCAGAGTCATGACAATGTGATGGATGATTCAATGGAACTATTAAAAATCCCAGGCAGGCACCAAGTCCCTTCAGTGACAATGAAAATAATTGTAGTCGTTGTAACAACATAACATTAAAAAACGGCAGTGAAAGATAAGGATTTTTAACTTGTGTACCTTGAATTTTATCTCTTTTTAAACTGCCACACATAGACACAAAAAAAAAAGAAACAAACAAAATAATTATTCCGAGTGAAGGTTTAAAAAATAGTTCAAGGAACACAGTTCTGTAACACTAGTCCATAATCATAAAACTAGATGGGTTGTTTTCACAATCTTCAATTCTTCGAATGATACCTCAATTTATTTGCACACCTATAGTTCACTGGTTACTTGGTTGGATCTGGTTCTTTGGTTTTAGAATTATTTCCTTCAGCTCAGCAGGTCTGGCAGCATCTGCAAAGGAAAAAGCAGTTAACATTTCGCGTCTGGTGGCCCTTCCTCAGAACTGTTCTGATGAGGGGTCACCAGAGCAGAAATGTTAACTCCGTTTTTCCCTTCACAGATGCTGCCAGACCTGCTGAGCTTTTCCAGCAACTTTGTTTTTGTTCCTGATTTACTGCATCAGCAGTTCTTTCGGTTTTTATTTCCTTCAGTGTTTGAATGTGTATTTTTTCCGTTCTTTCAACAGAAGATTGGACAGAGTTACTTTACAGAAAAGGGGGAGAGAGAAAGATTGATGCAGTTAGCTTCACAGTGGCTCTGTGGTTGGCACTGCTGCCTCACAGTGCCAGGGGCCTGGGTTCAATTCCAGCCTCAGGCAACTGTCCGTGTTGAGTCTGCACATTCTCCCCGTGTCTGTGTGGTTTTCCTCCAGGTGCTCCTGTTTTCCCACACAGTCTAAAGATGTGCAGGTTCGGTGGATTAGCCATGCTAAATTGCCCACAGTGACCAGGGATGTGCAGGTTAGGTGGGCTAGACGTGGGGAATGCAGATTTACAAGGATAGGGTAGAGGGGTGAGTCTGGGTGGGATGCTCTTCAGACAGGTGCTGTGGACTTGTTGGGCCAAATGGCCTGTTTCCACACTGTAAGGATTCTATGAGTCTGGAGATCACTTTGCTTCTCTCTGTTTCATTCTCCTCAAAGAGAATGTGTTAAGCTGTCTGACCAGAGACTTGTTGCTGGGCTGGGGTCTGCTGACCACAGAATAAATAGTACCTTCCTGTCTGGACTCAACGTTGCCAAAAAGTAACATTGTTTCATATGCACTAATTAGCTTCACTTGTTTTTCTAAGCTGCTCATATTCTGTCTCCTGTCTCCTTTCTAAAGCAGATCCCATTTTTGTCATTCTCAGTCCACAGTCAAAACACAGTCTTGCTTTTACATTAGGGTAACTGCCAAGAAGCACGAGTGAGTGCAAGATGAAAAACTTTAACAAAGCATATTTAAACCAGTACTTTAACTAGGATTTGAATCATACTGTAAATACTGTAGTTATGGTGTTCATAATGAATTCCCCTCATTATATATAACAAAGCCAATATACCCCCCTAAAAAGGAGGACTTTATCCAGTTCAGTTGATATTCAAGGTGTATTTTCTTTTAATCAATTAAAGGGCCTAGTTGCACAGGATGCCATCAAGGCTGAGAAGAATACAAATAAAAGGCAAGGCAAATCAAAGCATGGTAAACCAATATGAAACTCAGGTCTAAAAGTCTTAGTAGTAGGAAGGGAACGTTGGAAAGAACAACAAATTTCACAGTTTTAATTTTCTGAAAGGGGAATAACCTCAGAAACTTGAGACCTGATACTGTATAGCTGCTGTGATGATGAAAACCCAGATTTAGCCGCAACAGGTACATTTTTATAATAGTAATCACCATGTGAATGAATCCTTAATAGTTAGGTTACCTTTAAAACGTTCTGAAAAGTCAGAGAAATTGAAGTCTTGATTCTTGAACCCCAATACATCAGCCAGAACGTCAAACTGGTGATCATCCATGATTATTTCACAATCACTCAACACCTAAAGACCAAAAGGTGTTCAACATAATGCAACAAAATCAATTTTGATAAAATATTATCTGCACAGCTCTCTGCCCACTAAACTACCGCACTAATAGGTGTTCTCCAAATCTTAATAAACTTTCGCTTAGAAGATTACTTGACAATAAAATCTATCAAACAATAGGGATACTTGGAGTAACCTTTTATTGCTCTGTTACTGCCTGCTATCACATTCTCTCTCTCCTCCAGTTATGAGCAAAGGACAGTTTTGAGCTATGGATTCCTCCTTATGCACTCCATAATTAGTTGGAAACAGGTTGCAGATTCTGTGGGTGGGTTTTGTGAGTAAAGGTTGTGCGGAGGAAACAATGCAGCAATGGCTTATTCTCCTGGGTCAGAGTGATTTATATATTTTCCTTTGTGGTCTTGGAAATTTCCCTCCTTTAGAAGGGCTACGATACAGAGTACAAACTTGTAATCAATAGCAGTGGGAAAAAGCACCGTAAAACTGACATTTACAAAGTAATTGTCATTATTCAATCTCTTCCGAACTTCAATGAAGCGGTGACTTTTTAAAATTTCTAAAATTATGAAAGTTACTTATTAACTTTTCCCAATTTGCATAGCCTGCAACCTGACAATTATTATTTGTAAAGGAGAATACCAAAAATCTTCAAGAAGCAGAACAATTTTTAATTTTCTATAAAATCCATCAAGTGCTTGCCAGTGGTACTGTTAAAGCTGTTTCTTTTTTACATGGATGTTTTTATTAATTTTCTCCTTCTATTGCTTACCAGCTTAGATGGAGCCCGCGATAGGAAACATAGTGTGAAATTTGAAAGGGTCCGGAAAAGATGTACATGGAAGTGGCCAGGATTGGAGGGTTTGAGCTATAGGGAGAGGCTGAATAGGCTGGGGCTATTTTCCCTGGAGCACCAGAGGCTGAAGGATGACCTTATAGAGGTTTATAAGGTCATGAGAGACATGGAGAGGGTGAATAGTCAATGTCTTTTCCCCAGGGTAGGGGAGTCCAAAACTAGGGGTCATAGGTTTAAGGTGATAGGAGAAAGATTTAAAAGGAACCTAAGGGGCAACTTTTTCATGCAGAGAATGGTTTGAGTATGTAATGAGCTGCCAGAGGAAGTAGTGGAGGCTGGTAAAATTGCAACATTTAAAAGATATCTGGATGGGTATATGATTAGGAAGGTTTAGAGATGTATGGGCCAAACACTGGCTAATGGGACTAGATAAATTTAGGATATTTGTCGGCATGGATAAGTTGGACTGTTTCTGTACTGTATACCTCTATTACTTTTATAAGCTGACCTGATCACCAGCTTCTAATCATTGACACTATCAACAACTGAGAGGGATTTGACTCCATTTTCCCCTCCCTCAACACCTTGCAAAATTGCGTGGCTGAAATAGTTGGCTGTGTGAGGGATCAAAAGGACATACTCATTTTTTGGTACCTGACACAGAAAATCATAAATTAAATGCAATGTTACCATGCCACAGTACAATTCCATAAAGCACACCACTCATTTTATTTTGTTGTGCCGACTTCAAATGTTATGTTCCAAGTTTATATTGTGGGGAACTAAATTTACTCCACTGCACAAACTGACTCATTTAATAACAGAAAATTCAGTGTTTAAGTTATGTTCAGTCTCACTATCTTCACAGGAGGTGGATATAATCTGCTAAATTTTATGCCTCCTGGGGATGAACAAAAACTGGGAGCCATGGCAATGGTACGTGCTCACCAACGGGATAACTGCAGCTCTTAAAAACAATTAACGGCATTTGTGGCCAGCTCCTGCTACAGCCGGGATTCTTGCTACAGTTTGGCTCGGGTGTGGGTCGACACCTAGTGTCCAGACTACCTAGTAAAATTTAGTAGCTCGACATTTTTTATTCATTTGCGGGATATGGCATCACTGGCTGGGCCAGCATTTATTGCCCATCCCTTTACCCTTGAGAAGATTGTGAGCTGCCTCCTTGAACCACTCCTTGAACCAACCTATTTGGAGGCACTATGTCCATCGGAGGCTTTCTCAACATCCTCCTCCCATTTCCCCTCCATCTCTGCCCTATCCACCCCGGTATCCCGCACTCTTAGTCCCCACGTGGCCTGGCCCAGATGAGGTCACCCATACACCTTAATCAGGGTTCTATCCACAGCATCGCCTCTTTAGGACTGCATGCAATCCCATCACTGGTCACTTCTCCTGGTGCACCTTGACAGAGTTCAAAAGGTGAGCTTTCCTCTCAGATGCAGGCAGAAGTTCCCTCTCAAGCTCACAAGCCACCAAATTGCTATGGAGTGAACTAGCCAAGTATTCTCAAGCTCCCCCTCAGCTTTTATGTTCAGCTATTAATATTAATTTTAAACAACATACCTTATTGACAGGAGAATATTATATTTATACCAAAACTATTGTTAATTTTCAGAATTTTGTTTCAGATTCCCAGAAGTTCTTTTTTAAATACTTAAAGAAAATCTTTACATTGTGTTATGTACCAGACCAGACCCCCTCAAAATATATTAAAAAGATAATCTAGACCCTAATTTTTTCTTATTTTAAAAGGTAAGTGTAAGGTGCAGCATTCCAGATGCAATTCGATTGGTCAAACTACCAGACGGAAACAAAACACACTTTGTTCATACACTCCAGTTAAAATACAACTAAAAGGAAGAAGAAAAGCATTGGCTGAAAAACTAAGAAACTAAAAATCCTGGTTCCGAGACAGCTTGGCCATTCAGACCGTTTCTATTATTCCAACTTGAAAAAAAAAACTCAAGGCCTCACAAGCTGCTAATTTTATTGGTTTTCAAATAGACAGCTCGGCACCGCTTTCTTAAAACCTCTCTTTAAATAAACCAGAGCAAAATACCCTCTTAAAGCTATAGTGTTGTCACAGTTGTATCACCAGAGCCTTACGTTATTTTACAGACTCAAAACAAAACATGTGTCCATTTGCACAACCATTAATATGCTCCTTTGTAATGATCGTCTTCATGTTAAAATTACAACATACAGGGAGGAATGATAAAGTTATACTTATTAATATTGGCAATTAATCTGATAAAAAGTACGATGTGCCCCATACTATTTGGTTCAGCTGTATAGCTACCACATTTGACTTGGGGTCTATTGTGAATTTACATTTATAGGATTAGAGGCTGGGGTACTGCAAATGGTACTGAGCACCGACGTGGAGAGAGGAAATCACAGGTCCTCTGCTCCTTTTCAATATTTAGAGCCCTGCTAAAAGTGCACAAGAGGATAATGAATAAAAGAGAAGATCAGGTTTTGTTTCCATGGCCCCTAGTGTTAATTTTTCCATTAACATTTATTTCCTGGGCTCATTTTGAATAAAATCCACTTGCCAATGGACTGTGTGGCAGCTGATGCCCATGCAATTGAGCAGAGTAAGGCTTAATTTCTGGCAACAGAAGATGGGTAGGAGTGGGGGAATTGCATCAGAGAAAAAAGGAGAGTGCACTGTTTAAAAATTACTTCTCCCTTATGTGTGATATATCGCTTAGTTCTGTATCATAGGAGCCTATGTCAACACTAATAAAGCAAAACAGAATCTCAGAAAAACAGAATAAAAATGAATAGGCCAAAGCATCATAAGGAGCTACTGCCGTTTAACTTAATTGAGGTAAATATATTACAGGTTTCAAATCTTATTTATTTATTTTTTTTAAAATCACCTTCTTGAATCCTTCCTTGTTGATTTTTCCATTGGATTGCTTCTTGTGGGTCAGGAAACTTTTCCTAATGACACTGTCACAGTTCATAATACGTTGCCACAACTCTGATTTCACCTCATTCACAGTCATCATGTTGCCTAGTACGAGGTTTTCATTTCCTTGCTTTGCTAACCTGGTATAAACATTTGCCACAGTTATTCAAGGAAATAATTCAGCAACAGAATGCCATGAAAACAGAGTAATGAAGATTGACACCACTGGTCCAATATTTATTTGAAATCAATCCAAATTTTGGCAGCAATTTAAATAATAAATCATTATCATTGAGCATTGGTGAAGAGGTGAGCTTGCCTTTTTCTGTCTTGTTGTTGAAGTACATCAGCACCAATGATTTTAGGAATGTCAGTCACCCCAAGACTTTCCAGAAATTGTTGGTATGAAACATGTATGTTGTTGTTCTGTTGTTGCTGGCATAATCTGAAAGATTTAGAGATTTATTTTTTTTTTTAAGATATTCGTACAAATATATGCAAATCTTCTATATTTTAAAGGTGCGCGGTCACAATATTCTAATGACATTAGGCTTGTCATTTACACTCTACGTCCAACAGTATATGATCAAAGTACTGTGAAGCTCAACCTATATTACATGACAGGCCAACTCTGCTATCCAAAGAGCATGTTCAGCTCTTAGTGATCTCCTACCTAATTGGCACGATCCAAACCTTCCACTTGCCCAGGTGCCAAGGTGAACAGGAGTTTCATGAAGGCATTAATTTCTACAACTGTGCTGCTTTGATCAATGAATCTTCTCACACTGGAAATGAAAATATACAGCTTAAATTCTATTCCAGTTTTGGAAGGGAGACAATGGTCTGCGCTGGCTCTGCCATGACTCAAAGCAAATTTTCAATTGTCTACAGCTGGCTAGTTCCTCAACAGCCAGAGCACCTTCAGGTCACCATCATGAGAATCTCAAATATTTTTAATAGGTTAAGTGGTTTTGCATCACTCATGCTGCAGCCACAGGGGATCTAGTTAACAGGAGAATTACAACAGTGTAACAAGCACATGAGATGTGACCACAGCTTGCACAAGAATGATTTCAGATGTTCGTACTTAATAAAAGCACTTATCATTTGAAGAGCATTTAAATATAAATGAACGGTATATACAAGAATTTGATTTAAGAGGAACGCCCATAATTCAAGGGGTACGATTAATTTGTGTCTGGAATATTTAAGATATGAGTTTGTGTATTGCAAAAAGAGTAGATTCATAAACTGGACAGGATGTGGGAGGGATTTCAAGATTATCTCTCACATTAGTTAGCGGTGCAGTAGGCATCAGCCCTGTAAAGGTAGTGTGTTATGATCCCAGTTATAAGAACACTGGACAAGCTGGATATTTATTAGGATTTACAGATGCTGCCAGACCTGCTGAGCTCCTCCAGCAACTTTGTTTTTGTTCCTGATTTACAGCATCCGCAGTTCTTTCAGTTTTTATTTATTCGGATTTAGTTTGATTGACCACCATTGTTTAAAGTATGTAATGTACGGAAGGATCAAGGGCAAAAGAAATAGGGGCTAGAAATCCAGCATTAAATATAAACACAAAAAGAACTTTTACTATACAAACTTGAACAAAACAAGAAATAACAATTAAATAGAGGTACACTGAACAAGAAAGAGAAGGTTCTAAACAAACTTAGTCCACTGAACTTAACCAGTCTTCAAGTGGCATTCACTCCCATAGGATAAATAAACTCAAATCCTAAAAGGTGGTTCCAGTCTGAGTCTGGCTGTACAGGTCACAACTCGGGTATAAGGTAAAACCCTCCAAATACAACTCCCTGGGCCAAGTAAAGGAATCACTGACTTCTCTAACAAGTCCCAAGTTATCAGTGGGCTGACTTTTGTTGAGTACACTGAGTGAATGCACCCTGACCAACTCCCCAACTCGGCAGCTTTTACAAAGTGAAATTTGATTTTCTGTCATTTCATTCTGATCTTTTCACTCACTCCTATTACATTTTCCGGGTTTGGTAGATTTCTAGCCCTTTGAAGAGTAGTTTCAAAGTGGCATGACATTTGTGACACCACAACCCACCAGGCACACAAAAACAGTCCTCTTCAGCAGGATAACAAGGTGCAGAGCTGGATGAACACAGCAGGCCAAGCAGCATCAGAGGAGCAGGAAGGCTGACGTTTCGGGCCTAGACCCTTCTTCAGAAAACCTTTTCTGAAGAAGG